CTCGGTTAGCAGAACTTCCACCGGTTGTTGCAGTTGAGGCAGGTGACGAAGGTGGTCATCGGCTCGTCCGCGCTCCGGGTCTGCATCTGGTAGTACGTCGTCTTGCGCTGCCGGCACTTGCCGCACTGGAACTGGTCGGTGGTGGGCTGCTTGGCCGCGCTGGGTGCGCTGTCGAACAGCTTCTTCTCGCGGATCCGCGCGTTCTCCTCCCGCTGCGCGTCGCTGGCCAGCGCCTCCGGCGCCAGCGTGACCAGCAGGTCGGGCGCGATGCGCCCCGTCAGCACCTTGCGCCTCAGGTCGGGGTTCTTCCTGTCCTTCAGGTTGAAGGACAGAGACCTGAACTTGGCCTTGTAGCCCTCGGTCACGCCGCCGTGCTGGCGCCGCAGCTCCTCCTCCATGGCCACGGCCAGGGCACCGGGCGTGGCGCAGGCCTCCTCGTCCGGCGAGGGCGCCGCCCTCAGCTCCTCGACCGCCAGGCACAGCGCGGCGGCAAAGGTCGTGCGGCACAGGTCGCGCACCTTGTCCCCGGTGGAGGGGACGGGGGCCGGGGTCGCCATCGAGCCGCCGCCGCACCCGGTTGCTGCAACCGCCGGCCGCTTGGGCGCTGGCCTCGAGGACGCAGGTGTGGACCCCGGCGGCTCACACGTGCCCACCCCGGGCGCGGTGCGCTTGAGCGAGGATGGAGCAGCCGCCGCAGCGCCTGCACCGGCCGGTCTCTGCGCACCCTCCACCTTCACAGGCACTCCGGCGGCTGCCGCCGAGGGGTGGCGGGCCGTCGAGGAGGGTTGCTCGGATGGAGCGTCGCCTGACCCACCCCGGCCCTCCTCCGCCTCCCGGCGCACGCACTCCTTCCAGGCAGCGATGACAGACGCGGCGGCCTGGGAGACGGCGGGAGAGGCATGCTTGAGCAGGGGCCGGAGCAGCTTGCCAGCCTGGGAGGAGGCCAGCTGGGCGGCGGTGACGCGGCGCGCTTGCAGGGCCTCCAGCGCCTGCAGCGCCGGCTCCTGCAAGGTGGGAGGGAGAAAACTCTAGGAACTCCCATTCCCAGAATCTTGGCGGGAGCCTGGAGGCGGCGGATCTGTCAAGGCCATCCAGGGCAGGCATGGGGCTCAGGGATTGGGAGATCCTCCATTCAGGCACATGCTCACCGTGGGGCCGCTGGGGTGAGCCTCAAGCTCCTTGGAGGCATCCAAAGCTGACTTTACGAGATCAAGCATGGGCCTGACGGTTTCCACAGCCATGCGTGCCGCATGTGCTGCCGAGGCCGGGGCTAGCGCTCGGGCCAGGAGATGTCAGGGGAGGTGGGCACACCAGGACGAGGCTGTCGTGTATGGTGGTGATTCTGTATGGAAGCACAGCCCGAGTGCAAAAACTCGACAAGAGTATTGTTTACTTGCACTCATGCATGCCGGTGGCAGGTGTAACTTGCAGCCCGGATTCCACTCGAGCCTGGAATGCAGCACCGATGATGTGGCAGCAGGTGTGATAGACAGTAGCTAGGATGGGCCCTGATGCCAACCCTACTGTAGGCACCCCTCACCACCTGGAGCAAAAACACCGACATCGAGGCGCCTTGAAGGATCAGGAGTGTCGGCATGTGGAGACGCGAGCAGGCCGGTCACTACCAGTCAGGCTGAGGGCCGATGCCCCCTGCGCACAATGGCGGGGCCCTTCCAAGTCGTCGTTGCCCGCCTGACCCCGGACACGCCAGTTTGTGGCGTGCCCCTTGAGCCCTATGTCCTGGCCAGGCGGGCCGACACCTCGACGGTCACTGGAGGTGCGCTGCACGGGATCGCTGGCACGGGAAGCACTGTCAGGGGGTTGTCCCCATCGGGACATGCACACGCGGTGCCTGGTACTAGGGTGCTGATGAATTGTCGTGATCCGGCGATCGATGACCCCCACTGCCCCACCTCTCCCCGCAGGTGACCTCCCCGCCGAGGGTGCCACCGACGCCCGGTTCAGTATCAAGTACCGGTGGTATCGCTCTGTGGTGACCAAGAGTGGGCAGGTAGGCACCCCGACGGGTGGCTGCGTGGGCTGGGCTGGCGACCTCCCCATCTCACACCCATGCCAGCAGCACAGGGAGCAAGGGGCAGGGACGGCAAGCTGGTGACCATGCATCTCAGTATGGGTCATTAGCCCCTCTGGGAATAAGCCTGGGGGGATGCCCTGTCCCTGTGACACTCAACCCCCCCCCTTTCCCCCCCCTTTTCACACACACACTCAGGTGTGCTGGGCGCACAGCGACCGCGAGGCCACGGTGCAGTGCATCCTGTGCCTGCGCTCACGTGTGGACATCCGCAAGTCGTACCACTGCTCCCCCGAGTGCATGCGCGAGCACTGGCACTTCCACCGCGAGTTCCACCGCGGCGGGCGCGGCGAGAACGGCGCGGGCGGCGGCGAGCCCGCGCGCGCGCCCACGCCCGCGCCGCACGGCGGCGAGGCCTGGCTGGAGGTGGGCTGCTCGCCCATCTACACCCCCTGCTTCGAGGACGTGGGCAGCTTCCTGAAGCTGGAGTGCGTGGCGCACGACGCCGCCGCGCCCTACCACGACCTGGGCAAGGTGGTCACCACGCTGACGCCGCGCGTGCGCCCCGAACCGACGCCGCCGCGGCGCGGCATGGTGCCCATGCCGCCATCGCGCCCTGTGCTGCGTCGCGGCGGCTTCACCCTGCTCACCTACAACCTGCTGGCGGAGCTGTACGCCGCACCCGAGGCCTTCCCCCATTGCCCCGCCTGGGCGCTGGCCTGGCCCTACCGCGCACCCAACCTCCTGCGCGAGCTGCTGGCCCACGACGCCGACGTGCTGTGCCTGCAGGAGGTGCAGTCCGACGCCTTTGCCGGCTTCTGGCAGCCCGAGCTGGCGCGCGCGGGGTACGCGGCCATCTTCAAGAAGAAGACGGCGGAGATGTTCTCCAAGAACTCGTACGTCACCGACGGCTGCGCCACCTTCTTCAAGAAGGACCGCTTCGCGCTGGTGAAGAAGTACGAGGTGGAGTTCAACAAGGCCGCCCTCTCCCTTGCCGACTCCTTCCCCCCGGAGCAGAAGAAGCTGGCGCTGAGCCGGCTGCTCAAGGACAACGTGGCCCTCATCGCCGTGCTGGAGGCCCTGGACGTCCCTGGTGGCGGCGCGGAGGGCGGCGAAGGGCCGTCGGCGGGGACGGGGACGGGGACGGGGACAGGCGCCGCAAACGCCGCCGGCGCCGCTCCGGCCGACGCCGCTCTGGCGACACCCGGCACCGCGCCACGGCGCCAGCTGGTCTGCGTGGCCAACACCCACATCCACAGCAACCCGGAGCTGTCGGATGTGAAGCTGTGGCAGGTGCACACGCTGCTCAAGGGGCTGGAGAAGATCGCGGCCTCCGCCGACATTCCCATGCTGCTGGCGGGGGACTTCAACACGCTGCCGGGGTCCGCTGCGCACGCCCTCCTCGTGTCGGGCGGGGTGCCCCACCACCACCCGGTGGGTTGAGGGGGGGGGAAAGTTTTGGGGCCCTGGGACCGGGCATGGGAGCGGAGGGGCGGCTTGAGCTACTCACAACAATCACCCACTCTCCTCCCACATGCCCCCCCCCCCC